AATATAAGAAAATATAAATATATGTACAGTAGGGTTGGATATGGTACGCTATCAAGTGTTCTTTCAATATTGTGTACCAACCAATTTAATTGGTACGCACAATCTTATACAGTATACCAATCAACCGTACTTGGTACTAACTTTTTTTGGTTGATAATGTTGGTATTGGTTTTCTACCAATTTCAAGTTACAGAGATGAAAACTTGTCATTGTATTCTAATTTATGGTGACTTTTTGAGTTTTCAAGTAATGTTTAGGGTTTTTAATTGCAAATTAATAAAACTTGAAAATATTAAAATGTTCGAATAAAATAGTTAAAGTTACAATATTAGAGTAAAAAATGCATTCGATATCTTCGTACTTGGATGAAAAAAGTTCGACTTGGCATCTATGTTAAAAACGCACGCATCAGACGTTAACTGTGACATCCATGGTGATTTTGATGAACATATTTGATTAATGACGGGTCGATGAATTTTGATTAACATAATTCTTTTTCTTTTAAAAAATATTATTCAAATCAGCTTTCCTTAACATCGAAAGAGTAGAGTTGGGTTGGAAAATATTATGAGAACCGTTACCACCAGAGTTGGAATTGGTACAGTACCAAGTTTTTTTTCTAATACTGTGTACCAACTAATTACAATTAATACATAAAATTTTATATTGTTACCAACCAACTACACTTGATACCAACTTTTTTCTATTGGTACATATTGGTATTGATTTTGTACCAACTTCAAGTTACATATATTAAAACATATCATTTTCTTCAAATTCTGAGTGGCGTTTCAATTTGCAGGAATACATATAAGGTTTGAGGGGGTGTTTGGTTAGAGATATTAAGCAGTAATCAATGAGAATATTTAAATTAACAAATGAAAGATTTGCTTAAAGAAAAAGGGCATGTCAGAGAAACTAACATCGTTTTTCCAAAATATGATCAAAATAGCATTTTTTTTTTCTTGTACCATTATATTTGTAAGCTACGAGATGGTGAATGTTATGATTGAAAATGGGTGGTTTACTCCAAAAATTTGGATAAAGTTTTTTACTTTTATTGCAAATTATTTAAAAGACGTTAACCAAAAAGTCATTTTGTAAGTGAAGGACATAATAATTGGAAACATATTAGTTATGCATTACCATTCCATGAAAATAGTTATGAACATTGGATTAGTTTAACAACATGGTCTGATTTAAAAATGAGGTTGGATAAGAATCAAATAATTGGCAATGACTTGCAAGAGTTAATCAAGAAATATACCGCTCATTAGAAACAATTAATTCGAATAATTTTTGTTGTTAAATGTTTGGTAAGATATAATTTGGCTTTTCGTGGAAAAATGAAAAACTTTATGAAGAGTCTAATGGTAATTTTTTAGGAATTCCTCTGATAATTGCTTTTTTTGATCCTGTCATGCAACATCATTTTCATTTTAGTGAAGAAAAAGAAACTCATCATCATTATCTTAGTCATAAAATTCAGAATTAGTTGATTGAAATGTTGGCATTCAATGTGAAGAGTGCAGTTATTGCAACAATCAAGGAGTCAAAGTACTTTTCAGCCATTCTTGATTGCACTACTGATGCAAGTCGTAAAGAACATATGACTTTGATTATAAGATGTGTCGAGTGTTCCAATCAAAGTAGAAGAGTTCTATTCTGAGTTTTTGGTAGCAGAAGATGCATCTAGTAAGGGTCTTTTTGATGTGCTACAAGATGTTTTGAAAACCCTTGATTTAGATATTAGTTGTGTATGGGGACAAGAGTATGATAATGGGGCTAATTTGAAAGAAAAACATCAAGGGGTTCAAAAAATGTTGCTTGATATAAACCCTAGAGCTTTTTATATGCCATGTGGATGTCATTTTCTTAATCTGGTTTTGTGTGATATGGCAAACTCTTGTCATTAAACAAAAACTTTTTTTTGGTACATGTCAAACAACTTATACTTTATTCTCTAATTCTACAAAGCGGTGGAGTGTTTTACTTGAATATCTTGGTGATTTGACTTTGAAGTCATAAAGTTCTTGCTTCGACAATTCAAAAGTCGGAGAGGGTTTTTTTACTAATGAATCGATAGTCAAACACATTCCATACATTATCTTTTACTCTAGATGTCCTACTAGTTAGGAAAGCCATGTTGTTAAAGCAATAAAAACTCAACTTGGCCAAATAAAAAATATTTTGATAAAATTAGCCAGTGTATATGAAGAGGAAAAAGTGTGTAGAGATGCTAAATCTTTGATGAATGATGAGCTTTCAACTTTTGAATACATTTTGAGTTTGGTTATATGGCATGAAATTTTAGATAGAATCAATTTGGTTAGTAAAAAGTTAAAGTTAAAAGATAAGCTTCTAGATATTTTGGTAAAAAAATTAAGGATTGGTTATTTATTTTGAAAAGTACAGGGACAATGGGTTTGACTTAGCTATCATTGAAGCTAAAGAAATTGCAAAAAACGTTGGAGTTGAACTAGAATTTCAGGTAAAACGTTATGCTTGTAATAAAAAAACAATTTGATGGGATCCTAAATAGTAAAAGAAAACAACAATTTGCCCAAAAATCATTTAGAATTGATTACTTTCTAGTTTTAGTGGGTATGGCACTTTCTCAGTTAAGAAGTAGATTTGAATAGATGAAACATTTTGAGTCTATATTTGGGTTCTTCATTGATGCATCAAAGTTGGTTAAATTGAAAGATGATGAATTAAAGAAGTGTTGTTTGAATCTTGAGATTGCTTTGACACATGGTGATGATGTTGGTATTGATGGGAAATATCTTTATACGGAGTTACAAATTTTGCAGGGCATGATACGATATGAATCTTACGGGAAAGAAAAGCCTTGGACGTTTATTCAAGTTATGGAGTTTGTAAGGAAGATGCATATGTTCTCACAGGTGTTGTTTGTCTATAAGATTTTGTTAATCATACCAGTCATGGTAGCATCCGTTCGAAATAAGTTTTTCAAAATTAAAGTTATTGAAGTTATATTTGTGGACTGCCATGAGTCAAGAGAGGCTTAATGGGTTAGCAATTTAAGCATTAACAGTAAAATTTTAGCAAAAGTTGACTATAATAGATTAATTGAAGAATTTGCTTCACGAAATGCATGAAGACACGGTTTTAGGTGATCTTATCTTCTTCTTTTTTTATTAGCCTGGATATTCAACCCGCTATGCGAGCCGACTAATCCCAGGACGACCACCTGCTTAGGTAGTCCAAAGTCATCACATTTGAACCTCTGTGGCCATAAGTGGATTTTTATTCCTCCTTGGATTTGAATCTGGGACCTCCAAGCACTTTTGACTTTTGGAGCCCAAGCTAAAACTAATCAAGCACCACCCTTGTGGTTTGGTGATCTTATCTTTGTTTTGTTGTTCGAGGTTTTGGTTTATGTCTTTCCGTTGCAACTTTTTTTTCCAGTAATAATCATCATGAGAATGAGCCGTCTAGCTTGACTAGGTTCCAAACCCCTTAAAATCTTGTGTCTTCTTGGTTCATTGGACCAGGAGCATTTTTTTGACTCTTCGTTCAGAAAATACAAAACTCTTGGACTAGCCCGGCTAAGTACAACCAAGAAACTACATACTAAGAAATAAAAACTAATTCATAATCCTCAAACCTACACCACCGCAAATTGATTCGTCTGAAACCACTAAAGAAAACAAAATGGAACCAGGATAGCTCAATGAAAGATTACTAATCTAAATGTGCTTCTTCCGCACTTCTATAAACTGACAACTTGACTAGGACATAAATGATGCAAGTCGAGCTATAGTATTGGTATACTTGACCTGAACTTGATAGCCAACACTTGTTACCAACTCTCTTCCAATATGAAATAACTTCACCAACATTTTTATAGTTTTTTTGTCTTTTTTAATTATGGTTTTAACTGATAAAAAATTGATTCATTTTTATAATTAAAAAATATACAATTTTGTTTAGATATCTAAAAATATACAATTTTGTTTAGATATCTAAAAATATACGACATTTTTCTTTTTATTGGTAAGTTTAATAATAAACTTTTACGTCATATTTACAAATTATATTATAAAACTAATTATATTATAAAACTAAAAAATCATGTATCTCACTAGTTTTTCAAGTCAAGTGTTAGGTAGCTCAACTGAACTCGTTAATATGTCGAGTCAAACTCAAGTTCGAATAACTTAAAATCATAATAAAAATTACGACACTGTAATACTTATAAAAACTTAAAAGAAAATAGACCTTGTAACCTATTTTGAAGATATAAATGAGTTATTAGTTTAATAAAATTATAAAAGGCAATGTGACAAATGGGGTGGTGGACCATACAAAGGTGAGATGGGGCAACAAGCAACTGCCCGTGACTGCAGTTAATGTTGTTTACGTCATTCTTAGTTTTACCATTCCTTTCCCAAAATATATCCCTATTTTTTCCTCAAATATGGGTTTGTTTTCCGATCGATTATCGATTCGAATCCCGTAAAACCATTGGAGGTTTTCCTTTCTCTTCACATAGTTTTAATCGAGTTATGCCATGCACGATTTGTTATGTGTTCTGTTAATATTTTTGTTAACGTGGATCCAAAAAGCAAACAGATAACGACTCACATGGTCTCAAAATCATCTTTTCTCCTCAAGTTGGAGTCGTGATCAAATATGTCACAAAATTCAAGCTCAAACCTACATAACCACCTAAAAATGCCCGAATATTCAAATGAAGCTAACTAACTTTTTGAAAAACAAAATCGCTTTGACCAAACATTCATCATAGTCATGTGCACACCAATTAACGAACCAAGAGGCCTCCGTCAGCCGGTCTAATTAGCCATGTGGGTTATCAAGTATTCATGGATTCGTGTCTTTTATCGTTATAAACAAACCACTCCGACGGTCTTTTTAAGGAAAACAACATTTAAACTAATCACTAAATCGTTCATCTCTATAACATAATATTGCCGACAACCAAGATTGAACCAAATAATATACCAAAAGAAACTAATCATAAAAATGGGTGCATTTGGTTTTGAGGTTTCTTTAATTTGATCAATCTCGAAATCCTTTGTACTCGTAAAGAATCAAATCATCCCCAAATGTAAGAAAACACCTACGAGAGAGAAATAGCAACAAATTTGGGGACAAAAAATTTCAAACATTTGTGGACGAAGATGAATGAACCACGTTGTTTTTCTGCCTGCCCATAAGCCAAAGCAGAGTCCTCTTTGCAAAAGATGGTGGATTTGCTGCAGCTGTTGGTGGTGGATCACCACTGTGACAACTCTGTGTTTCTTGATCATCACAACCCACCTCGGACACCTTCAACTCATCTCCGGCGACATTCTGACGAAGCAAAAACTGTAGCGAGAAAGTCCCCGTTGATGATGGCTGCTCATCAATGGTGGCTGCTGTGTTCGAATTAGGCTTCTCTTTCTTCCCTCTAAGCCAAATCTTGGACACTGAAAAGCTCTCCCTCCTGATCGAACCACCACCATTGCCGCCACTTATGCTTCTATACGCTTCAATTCCTTTGAAATCTCGTCTTGAATCACCACCACATTCCGACATTGCCGGCCGGTGACCAGGAGTGATTGGTAGATTTGACTTCTTGTAAGCTTGTTTCTTGATTTGGGGCCTAATTGATACTTGTAATGATGAGTTGTCATCCATCACATACTCAAAAGATCCCATGGAAAAGCACCTCCTACCATCAATATTACTCTTCTCACCACCATCTTCCCATCCACCACCATCAACATCCACATTCTTGAATTTCCCAAGCTTAACTGTAACCACTTTCTCCTTATTCTCCTCTTCCTTTCCCTCATTTTCAACTGAATTAGTCGAAAGATGGAATTCGGATTCTTCACCATCAACACTACTCAAATGGGAATTGACCCTTTGAATTGTAGGGTCAGCCACGATCTCTCTAGAACTCTCAACACTCCCAGATTCAAGAACAAGCACAAATGGTGAACAAGAGTTTGGAGAGTAATCAGAAAGCAAATTGGCTCTACAAAGAGGGCAAGTGGAGTGAGACAAAAGCCATGTATCAATACAGTCCATATGAAAAGCATGGCTACATTTAGGCAATAATCTAAGTTTATCATCCCCTTCAAATTCACACAAACAAACAGCACAATCAAAAGGGTTCTTGACACCGATTATTGATTTGTAAGTGAAAACAGGAAGTGCGTCGATGAAAGACTGGTCAACACCGGAATCATGGAGGGTGAAGAGCTGTTGTAACTGGCCTTGAAGAGCAGTCACATTGTCAAATTCATCAGGGTCTCTGGTAGATGGTTTCACAAGAAATCTAACAAGAAGATGAAGCAACCCAGAGATGAAGAAAATGATGGCAAGGATGATGATGATTAGCAGAACACTTGGACTCACCTTGTTGTTTAAGCTTGAAGTGGTACTGGCCATCGCTGGAAACAGCGGTGGCGGTGGCGACGGCGGCGGAGGTGGTGGCTGAGTGAAGTAATAAGGCCTGTCGTAAGGTGAAAGAAGGATTTTCCGATCCATTTGGCGAGGAAACTTTGAAAGATTGAAACTTTGCAGTGAAATCATATGATGTGAAGAAATCCCATGTCTCAAATCATATAAATCGAAGAACCATAAAACGGTTTTTGAAGAGAGTACTTGGATGGATGGGTTGATGGAGAGTCTGCAAGTCAAAGAGTTAGACAGAGAGAGAAATGAAAACGACAGTCTGTATGGAAATAAATTTTGCATCTATGAATCCTTTAATTCCCAGAAAAATAAAACAGCATTAAAAATTAATTATTTTAATATTTTTCGTTTATGTAAATTCATTATTTTATATTTTATTAAAAATAAATTACAAAATTGAAACAGAAAATTATGTATATTTAGTTGGTAATTTATAAAAATCATTAAAGATATATTGGAAGAGTGAAATAAATAGTAATAAAAGTTTGATTTAATTTGCATCCAAAAATAGTATTTGTATAAATGGATATCAATATATTTAAAGTATAATTTGAATTAATTTAGATTGCAGAAACTTGTAATCACTCATTTCCTATTGTTGACTTTTCAAATCGGAAGTAGCCAATAGGAAAACATCCCCACATCAATGCACATTTAATACATACTTATTATAATAATGTTTTGAAATTAATTAAATTAAATAATTGTAATAAATTATTTCAAGAAATTAAAATCTTGGAATTTGAGCTCTAAAATACTTCTTTTTTCTTCTAATCCAATTCTCTTTTCACACTTCTATGTCACTTTTTTTAATAAGTAATATGACCGTAATTTAATATTTAAAGAAATAATTTAATTTAAAATAATTACTAAGTTTTTTTTTCCAAAATGAAGAATTATTGAAAGTCAAAGTAAAAAAGTTGAAGGTAAAAAAGAAGTCAAATGAAAGTCAAACTGTTTGCGCAAACTCCACGTCAAGGGGAAGATCTCCAAACTTTATGCTCGTTCTGGCAACATACAAAAAGTTGATTTTAAATTTACGTTTTTTTAGTTTAAATTATAAAAACTAGAAGGGTATTCACGCATTACAGTAAAATATATTTTAATTTTAATGTTTCATTTTTTTTTTGTCTCAGTTGATGTTATATGGTTTTAGAAAAATGATAATGTTTTTACTTTTGAATAAGATATATAAATATACAGATATCATAAAAATTTGAAAAAAAAATATATTGATATTAGTACATAACTAACTATTTAAAATTTCTTTTTTTTTGTGTAATGTTTTTAATTAAAAAAAAATTTATTATAATTTGATTTAAGTTTAATAACGAAGTTATTTACTTTTTTGTTTAATAATATAACTTTATAAATATAATAATTAACTATTTTGTTAGAATTCAATAATTATTCTAATTATATTATATATTTTTTATATTCAAAATGAGATGTTTATCCTCTATCTGATTATATTTATCTGTAATTAGTTACACGAATTCAAGCATGAAGCTCCAATAAGTTGTATTTACATACAATTTACTTGTAATATTGAATTTTAAATAATATGCATCAATAATAGTACTTCATGTATAAAAAAAGTTTTTAAGAGTTTTTGTCAAATGTTTATAATATAGACGATAGTTATCTGTATAAAAATAAGTCGTTTTTCATGATTTATAATCCTCATAATTGCCATGTGTCATGCTATTATTTGTTACATTCTATAAAGCATTTATATAAAGTTCTAACATTTCAGGAGTGCAACATTAAAAAAAAAACAGTAAGTACAAATTATCAACGTATTAAGAGTTAGGTTTTGTTGAGGATTTATGATTGAAAGTGTATACCAAATAGGTGGAATAACAAAAGGTAAAGTGGGTTCATGTATATAAAAGGAGTCCAAGACTTTTGTTTCAAATCTTCGATCAAAAGCATTTCGAATGTCTGATTCTTCTCATTTCTTTTGGTTTTATTGTTATAGAATTTGGAATTATAACTTAATTTTTTGAAGAGTCAGGTGTAACTGAGGGTGATTTGCTTAATTAATTTGTGTGATTGTAATAATTCCACATAATGGATTTTCTCTTTGAATGCTCGTATTTCAAAAAGTTTGCATACTTACGAGTTGTTTGCTTGTTTTTTCATCGAACATATTAGTTAAGTTGCCTGTATGGATTAAGTTAGACTGATCTTTGTATGTTGTGCTAAAAAAATTGTCTGAGTGTTAAGAATGATCATATTATTTTTTATTGTTTGATTTTTGTTTTTCCTTAAAGTTGGTGGTGTAATTGATCGACCAACAATAATAATGATCCTTAAAATTGATCAAGAAACAATCACAGTGAATCATTAAATTGCTACTTCAGTGTCATAGTATGTAGTTGAAGGATTACAAAAAACCCAAATACAATCAATAGAACACTTGTTTCTTCAAACACCTTATATCCATAAATATAGTAAACCAAGAATGTACATGAAATATACATGGAACATATCCCAAAATACACATAAATTAGGAGGGAGTAATGAGATCGAGAAATCGACGGCAATAACAACAATAACTATTCAAGTGTAAAAAGGTGTTTTGTTGTGAAGTTCAATGACGAATTACATTAATTTTTCACAGTGTTGTATTGTAAAGATTCAAATGTAAAAATGATGTCTCACATAAACAAGTTGGTCTCACGTGATCTCAAGTCTTTCTCTCTCTCTCTCTCTCTCTCTCTCTCTCTCTCTCTCTCTATATATATATATATATATTATAAATATATAGGGTTGTGTTCACGTAAGACTTACATGTTTTCGTGAGACCTGTGAGACCACTTTTTTACATTTGAAACTTTACAGTAAAACACTGTGGAGATAAAAAAAACCGAACATTCACAGCAAAAACACAATGAAGGTTACTTTCACAGTGTTTTACTGTGAAGTTTTAAGTATAAAAAAGTGG